CTGCCACGGCCATACAGTTTGTAAGCAATATAAGTCTCTGTGTTTACTTGGTTGGGTCTGAGCTGCTGTGGGACTGGCAGGTGAGAGAGATTTGTCCTGACTGTGGGCCAGGCAGGAAAATTCTAGCTACAAGAATCCATTCAATACACAAAAGTTTCCTGTATTCTGGATTCAAATAACTGTAGTGCATCCTGTTTCTCTCAAGATAATGTGCAAAGACTGCCCAATGCTGTCTCTTCTAGAGTTTTAAATATATTGGTTAATGCATAATTAGGTATTCCCAAAGCAGAACATACCCAATTATTGTTCCCCAATAATTTTTGAAGATCTTTAAGTGTTTTTAAATTGCTTTGTCTAATAGATATTTTTAAGTGTGTGTGGTTTAACAGTTGTTCCAGTCACTAGTTGTCCCAAATATTGAATAGTGTTTGACCTTTGCACTTTTTTAGGTATAATAATAAGCCCATTTTTTATGTAACATATCCCAAATCAAGTCATATATGAAGGTGGCTAACAGGATATCATCCATATACTGAATAATATAAGCCTGAAGGAAAGCCCGTCTCACAAATCTTTCTAAATTTCTAAATTTCTAAAATCTTTCCTACATAGTATTGACACATAAAATAACAAGTAAATATTGCTTCTAATTAGAAAGGTATTTTCCTCTAATTGCCTGTTAATATCAAATCCTTGACCATAATTTACAAAGAAATTTTATTTTTATCAATTTAAATCATTATTATGTTTCTATTAAACTCACAGCTCCAGGGAGGCTAACTAGTAAAGAGGACCCTAGGAAAGACACAGGGATCGCACAGTGACTGAGAAACATATGAGATCTACATGAGCAAACTGGGGGTGAGGGGAGGTAATGGAGGGCAAGGGTCGGAAGCAAGAGAGCTTAGGGGAGCAGGAGGTCCTATCTGGATTAGGAACAGAGTGGGAGAACAAGGAAAGAAATACCATGATAAATGAAGACACCATGGGAATAGGAAGAAGCAGAGTGCTAGAGGGGTCCCCAGGAATCCACAAAAATGACTCCACTATAGACTACTGGCAATGGTCGAAAGGGTGCCTGAGCTGACCTACTTTGGTGATCGGATGGCCGAACACCATAGCTGTCATGATAGAACCCTCATCCAGTGATTGATGGAAGCAGATGCAGAGATCCATTGTCAAGCCCCAGGTGGAGCTCCAGGAGCAACTCCAGGAGTCCAATCGGTGAGAGAGAGGAGGGACCACATGAGCAAGAGATATCAAGACCATAATTGGAAAAAGTATGAGACAACTATCCAAACTAGTGGAAATACAAGAACTGTGGACCAATAGCTGAGGAGCCCCCATCGAACTGGACTAGGCCCTCTGGATAAGTGAGGTAGTTGTTTAGCTTGCACTGTTTATGGGGTCCCCAGGCAATGAGACCAGGACCTGTCCTTAGTGCATGAACTGGCTTTTTAGAACCTAGTTCCTATGCTGAGACACTTTGCTCAGTTTTGGTGCAGGGAGGAGGGGCTTGGACCTGCCTCAACCGAATGTACCAGGCTCTTTTGACTCCTCATGGGAGACTTTGCCTTGGTGGGAAGGGGGAGTGGGTTGAGGGGGGAATGCTGGGGGGGGGGGGGGGGGTGGGAGGAGGGAGGACAGGGGAATTCGTGGTTGGTATGTAAAATGAATAGAAAAATCTCTTGATAGAAAGAACAAAAAACAAAGAAAAAGAAAAAGAAAAGAAAAGAAAATTTCCTAAATATATCACAAAATAAGGATGGACTACTAAGATTACACTAACATCTAGCAGGATTATTATATATAAATAGTGTACTAACATGTAATCTAAAACTAGACTTACATCTACAGTTTTGAAGATAAAGAAAATAGGACTAAATACCTTGTTATTAGTATTAGCTGAATGGGGCAGCTATAGTAGGCATTTGGCTGATAGAGATGCTCCTCTGATGAAAACGTTAGAGTTCTGATTTCAGAGTAATCTACTTCAAAATTAAATATAGATTAGTAAGCCAAAACTGGCCAGACACTCTTTAGAGGTTATTTATCAAAGAATATTTTTATCAATTTACTAAATGATCAAAATATTTATTCATAGTATATCTATTCATGTGTATTTTTTAGTTTCTAAGTATGGAGTGGGAATTTTAACCAGAAAATGGCACTAAAGCTGATTATAAAGAAAAACAGAGGTAGGATTCCAGGTCTCTAAAATTGAGTCAGACTTAAAAACTGTATCTAGATACCATTTGTGTATTTCACATGTCAGAGCACAGCCTCAGGGAATTAACCCCAGAGAATCTTGCTTAGCGTTTTTCATAAGCCACAAGTAATATGAAGAAAATACTTCTCCTTATTTCATAGTATAAAAAAATCAAATGTAAATCACATGGGTAAATTTGGATACATAGATCTGCTGATCCTAGAACAGTATAACTAACTAATTATTAATGGCAACACAAAATAGTTTGTCTATTCTACAGCAGATATAAAGCTTCTGAAATCTACCCTAGAAGTCATGTCAATGTTGGGATAGTTGAGATTCCCTCTTCCAGGTAATACATTTTGAAAAAGTGTCTTGTGACACAAAGTCCTAAATGACAATTATATCAATTATGAATATTAATGGTGGAAGTGGGAGCATATTTAACGCCATGTGGGTAAACTTCAAAGTAAAACAAAAATACCAACCTAAACTTAGAAGAGTAGGATAGTGGTTACTAGGGATTGGAATTATGTAGGGCTAAGGAGATAAGCAAGAGTGGGTTTTTTTCTATGCTACTTAAGCATACTTTTGAACAAATAAATGTTATGGTGATTTATAGTATGATAATAATTTATATATACTAATAAAAATCAAGTTCTTTGGTCTGTTACACTTTTAAAATGTTATTAATTTTATTTTAAAGAAGCATAAAGAAAAGAGTGTTTCACCATGTTTTTTTTCAGATGCACATTTTTCTTGTGAATTCTGCTTCCTGGGTCCTTTCACTGTCCTTCTCTTTTCTGCTTTCATGCCATTATTCTGTTAATTATTTATTAAAAAACTTAAAACAATATGTTTTTATTAAGTTGTCCCCTCACCCAACTCCATCCAGATTTACCCACTTCTGTACCCACCTAACTTCATAATCATTCTTTTAGAATCTGAAAATCAAAACAAAAGTCCAATCGCAAAAAATATCAAAACAAATAAAATACCTGCTACAAAAAAAGATGGTGTAGAAGTAACCAGCCGTCTTATTAAATAAGAAACACAGAGCCAATACAGAGATAAAAGCCAAGAGGTCAGAGCAATAGCTAAGAGCTAAAAACCTTACTCTTCACTATCGCGGTGGTCCTACCTCTCCGAAAAAGACCTACTTCCTGTGTGTCTGTCTTTATAAAGACTTTCTGTTCAGCCTTCTCATTGATGGTAAACCCAACCACGTGACCGCCTCGTTACTGCCTGTCTGTACAGACCTCCAGGTCTTCTATGGTTGGTATTGAAATTAAAGGCGTATGTTTCCAATGCTGGTTGTATCCTTGAACACACAGAGATCTACTTAGCTCTGCCTACCAAGTGCTGGGATTAAAGGCGTGCACCACCACCGCCCAGCTTTTGCTGTGGCTCTAATAGCTCTGACCTCCAGGCAACTTTATTTATTAACATACATATAAAATCACATTTCAGTACAAATAAAATATCACCATAGATGGAATCTGTTTTCTGTTGACCAACTACTCCTGTGCATGGGATCTGCCTTGAAATGTGATTGATATGTCCAATGATGAAGTGGAACATAGCATAAAATAATTCCTAAGGACATATTTTGGAACCCACAGATAAGTACATCACTCAGCATTAATCTGCAAGGCTTCTTTTTACAATAGATGGAAATTAACAAAAGACCCCAAACGGGACAGTGTGTAGAGAGTAAGAGACTTTGGAGAACTCAGTCCGAAACCACTTGCTTTCATCAAACTCCTCCCTTCAAGGTGCAGGGAGATTCTGTTTTTAATAGTCAACACAGAGAACAGCTTGGCCATTTTATGTATTTCAAAAGTAAAAGGAGTCACAGAACTTGATATTTTAATTTTTATGTAGAATTATTGTATAACAAAATATAATTTGGGGCTAGAGAGATTGCTCAGAGATTAAAAGCACTGGCTACTCTTTCAGAGTTCAATTTCCAGCAACCACATGGTGGTTCACAATCATCTATAATGAGATCTTGTGCCCTCTTCTGGCCTGCAGACATACATGCAGGCAGAACACTAAATTTACAATAAATAAATAAATCTTTAAAAATATAATTTGTACCTTCAATATCCATGATAGGGCAGTCATCTTTAAGTTTTGATTGTCCAATCAGTCATACATATGCATAAAGACAAACATTAGTGTGAATAGATAGAATTCTTTTTTGATAGTGGCAATGTTTCAATACATTTTATTGATCTAGTATATCACATTGACACTCAAAAGCAAGTAGTGTACTTAGTAGCTAATATTTTCATTGCATACTAATTTAAATTAACACAGTACTTTTATGCTGTGAAATAAGATTTTATATGAAATACAATATTAAGATGAAATTAAAATCATTTTCCCCAAAACTACTGATTTAAAAAGTTACCAGAACTTCACTTTAAATACTATAGAAGCAATTATCACTTTGTATGCATTATTTATTTATTGAACACAAGTTAAATAAAAGCATAATAAAACTAGAAAGAGTTGATTTCCCTTCTCAATGTAACTTCTACAGTATTCAGAAAAGAAAAATTTTTAAAAATATTTGATATAGAAACTTCATATGTCATGAAGCTGAATATATTATATGTGTGCAAGGAAATATGGTGTCACCAAGGTAAAAAGCATTACATATTCAAGACAAAGTATATAGAATATACAATTGAAATAAACATAACATAATTTCAATTATCATTAATGTGTAACAACTTGTATGCCATAAATATGTATGTATAAAAAAGTAGAGCATATGCATGAATTATGTTGCATGAGAACGCAGTTTTAAGCTCACGAGTCTGCTGACTGTGCCCTTCACATCCTTGTTCCTAAGGCTGTAGATGAGAGGGTTCAACATGGGGATCATAACAGTGAAAAGCACAGTCGCCACTTTGACCACGAGCCATGAGTTTTTGGAGTTGGGCACACAGTAGAGAAGGAGAATGATCCCATGGAAGATGCTGATGGCGGTCAGGTGGGAGGAGCACGTAGAGAAGGCTTTTTGGAGACCACCCTTAGAAGGCATCTTGATGATTGTGACAACTATGAAGACGTAGGAGGCCAGGATTATGAGGAGGCTAGAAGTCTCATTGAATATAGAAATGATTAAACATACCAATTGACTAAAGGTGGGGTCAGAACAGGACAAAGAGAGGATGGCAGAGTACTCACAGCCAAAGTGATTGATGATGTTAGGTCCACAGTAGGAAAGTTGCAAAAGAGAGTATGTGATTGTCAAGGAACAGAATACACCCCACATGTAGGTTCCAATTACAAGGAAAGCACAGAGCTTAGGAGACATTGCCACTGTGTAAAGCAGGGGGTTGCAAACAGCCACAAACCTGTCATAGGCCATCACTGCCAACATAAACATTTCTGTAATCACAAACGCACAAATAAAAAAAAATTGTGTCATGCATCCTGTGAAAGAGATAGTCCTGTCTTCCACAATCAAGATTTCTAACAGTTTAGGTGTGAATACACTGGAATAACAAATATCCAGGAATGAAAGATGGCTGAGAAAAAAGTACATGGGGGTGTGAAGCTTGGGATTGATCTTTCTGACCACAATTATGCCCAGGTTTCCTATCAGAGTAACTGTGTAGGTAATAAAAAACAGGAGAAAAAGAGGTGCATGTAGATGTGGATACTCTGAAAAACCCAAAAGGATGAATGTGGTCACAGAACTCTGGTTTGCCATATCAAGCACCATGATCCTTTATCGAGAAAAACAGAATGAAAGAGAACATGATTTAAAACAGTAAACTGGGAGACTGCGATTTAGAAGAATTTTAGTTCAGGCTGGTTGAAAACAGGAGGTGGTCCATTCTAATTCCTGATAATTCTGCTTCAGTTGGAATCTTCCTTGCATAAATTTCTGATGTGTATTATTTTCACTGATTTTGATCTTCAGTTATAGAGAATTTTCTTTTTAATCTAGAATTTAAACAGTAGTGTCTGATAAAATTATCACAACTTTAAATTATATAATTATATATATATATATATATTTTACAATATTACCTATTAAAGTACAATTTTATGACAACAAATCCCATATCAAAGTTAAAGGACATTAATCAGGATTGTTTTAGCCATACAATCATGTCAGAAGAATTCCTCAGACATAACACCTTTATCACATAAATTTAACTGTAATAATAAAGTTATTAGATTTGATCTATCAAGCCATGTGCCATATCTCCACAGTACTATGTTTTTTTAATCTGTTCTATGAATATTACATTGTTACCTACTTTTTATTTTTTTTATTTGTTCTTTATTAAGAAATTTTCTACTCACTCCACATACTATCCACATACTACCCCCTCCTCCCTCTTCCCACCTCCATTACCTACTTTTTAAATCATACACATTTTATAATTTTGCGTGGCTTTTGTAAAACACTGATGCCATCATTATTGAATTTAAGTTCCACCTTCTGACAGGTTAGAAAACTCAAGGGTCTCAGCAACAGCAAATATGTTTTCTTGATCATGGAATTAAAGAAGTTTTAAAAGTTCCACAATGGCTTTCTTCAACTTGTGTGACCATGTGTAGCATATATCTCATCAAACAGGAAAGAATAACAAACGATTTACTAGAAACTAAACACAAGAAAAGATTGGGGAATGAACAGATATTCTGTCATATTAAAGAAAGTAAAATCCTTTCTTCATGTAAACAAAAAATTAAAACATATATGTGATTTGTTAATAGGGACGTTTTATTTTAGTTATTCATGAGGAGTTGAAGAATTAAGTAGTTCACATAGCTGATTCAGGGAATGAAGGTGGAAATTATATAAATATAATTGAGTATCGTGAATGAAAGAGAAAATCTATCTTTTCCATATAACTACATCATTTTATAGTTTCAATGAAGTATGTAACTTACCTCAGGCACGTAGTGTGATTAATGTCACACTCTTTTACAATAGAGATCCCAAACCACCTGAGACCTTTGTTGACTCATTCTCCTCTATTGATGATTTAGACATGTCATATCTTTCTTTATAGATCAATGAAATCAATTTAAAGTCTCTATTGTGGTGTGAAAAAATAATTCTCTAAGTATGGTCATATTATACTGTTATAAACATTATGTGATCTTCTCAACCTAAAACAAGATCAAATAAAAAATTTGATGAAGTTCAAAATAAAGAGTTTAAAATTGTAAAATATTTTTTTCAATAGTCAACAAAATTTCTCATGTATCTGTTTACATTTATTTTTATTTAATCTCCTACTTACCATGTTTCTCTCCTCTTTTTCTTCTACTCCCCAATCCTTCACCTGTATTATGTTTTTATATCAAAACTCTCCTCACTTCTAGTGGTCTTACTTCAGTCTTTGTCACTAAAATAAGTTGTGTGTTATTTGTTATCACCATTAACTTAATAACTAAACATTAAAACATAAATGTAAAACACCACAAGCACAATGGATCATTAGAGATTATTATTAGAAAAGGTATGGCAATGTGTATGTTAAAATATTCCCAAAGAAAGAGTCAGTTTGGAAACATTTTTCCTGCCAATACTGCATCAAGAAGAAATAGAAAATCTGAACAAGTCAAAATCAAGTAATGAGAGTAATGAGATTGAATTAGTCATAACTGATCTCCCATTAAGTGTGCTCAAGAGGAGATGCTTCTACTGAGTTCTTACAAACAGTTAAAGAACAAAATCAATTCTCCTCACATTATTAAAAATTACTGAGGTGAAGGAAATATTTCCTAATTCAACTCATTAGATCAACACGCATTGCCTTACCCACAAAGTCAGATGCCAATTCAACCGGAAGAATTCTATAAGCTAGTACCTTTTGTAAATGTAGATTAAATGTTCTTATTGAACTGTCTGTAAATTAAATTCAAAGCTGCACTGAGTATATCACTGAGCATAATCAACTGATATGTCAGAAACGAAAGCAAGACTGGGTGTTAAATTGATAGGAAAAAAGCAACACAAGAGAACACAGGATAAAAATATCTCACCATGCTGATTCATACAGAAATGGCATCTAATAAAATTTTCTATCCTTTTACATAGGAAAGTATGAAAGAATTAAATTTAATATGCAGTGAACATACCTTACCACATTAAACATTTTGTGTGATATGAATAATTAACAGCTAATATCATACAAAATAAAAAATAATAATATTTCCCTTAGAGACAGAACAAGGCAAATATGCCCAATTTTATAACTTTTATTCAACATTGTACTAGAAGCAAAAAAGTAGGAAAAATAAAAAATCACAATGAAAATGCCATATATTGCAAATGATGTTGTATTGTGTATATAATATCACAAGTAGCTTACTAAAAATTACTAGCAGTTAAAAATTTTTATAAAATATAATGACGTAAAATCAGCATACAGCATTAAATAGCATTTCCCAGAAGCCAATATCCACTTATATGTCATAGGAATGAATGAAGGAATTCTATGCATAAGACATACAAAGTAAAATATACAGATAACTGTAACAAAAAAGGTACCTATCTTGATTAGACAAATATAATGTGATATTTTGATTTGAATGGTAGAATGTAATTTTTTTTTCAACTCAAAGAAGTTGACAATAGAATGGAAGTGGCTGGGAGCAGAAACTAAGGAAGGAGATATGACGAGATACCATACTGAGAGGAATGAGGGTTTCTTGTGTGCTGGTGCACAGTGGGATAACTGTGGGTAACAAAAACATATAGTTTGTTTTCAAAATTCAAATGATGCATTTTAATGAATTCATGATAAGTGACAGCTATTTCAAGAACTTGTTATGTTTAAATTACTAAAGAGTATATAATATATACAGGTATTGGACTATTGCTTGGTATCATATTACTATGCATATTTTATGTATAAATTAAAGAATAAATGAAACATAAATAAAAATACAAATGAAATAAATTGCTTTCAATGCTTAGTTCATCTCTAAATCTCCACTAGTGTCTATAGAATAGTATCCATCATCATTAGATAGATTTCTAACAATCTATTCTAACAATTTTAACAAAGGTATCTTTACAACAAACACATCACTAAAATTTAAATTTCCACTAATATTACTCATCATTAGAGACACTTAGAAGCATTGCTAATGTAGGCAATTTGTTAAATAGTTGTTGCATAGTCTTACATCTCTACTCTGTTGCAGAGATGGCTCCATGACGAAGAGTGCTTGTAACTACTCTAGGGGAGCAGAGTTAATTTCCCAGAACCCACAAAGGGCATCTCATAGCCACCTGTCACTTCAGCTTCAGGAGATCTGATGCTGTCCTCTGACATCTGTTGGCACCTACACACAAGTCTTGCACAAATGTGTATGCAGACATACACAAGTGGGGGAGGTGGGAGAGAGAGAGAGAGAGAGAGAGAGAGAGAGAGAGAGAGAGAGAGAGAGAGAGAGAGATCCATAAAATGAAATTAGTTTTCAACTCTGTAGGAGTATACACCACATGTTTACTATAAGCTATAAGCCTGTAGTTGAATAAATTGTTTTGAGGGGTCCATAGCAAGGTACAAGGGTTCAAGAAAACTTAAAGATATTTCTTGTGTGACCATTGTATGAAAGTTTTTAGTGCAAAATATACATTGTAAGCCTGACCTGGTGGCACAGGCCTTTAATCCCAGCACTCAGGAGGCAGAAGCAGTGGATCTCTGTGAGTTCAAGGCCAGGCTGGTCTACAGAGCAAGTTCCAGGAAGGCAAGAGCTGTTTCATAGAGAAACCCCATGGCGAAAAAAAAAAAAAAAAACTCTCTACGTATTAGCTTATGAAAAAGAATAATTGTACATTGGAACTATACAAACAGTAGAAACATTAATTGTGAAAATAAAACAATGTTAAAAACCTTGTGCTTAGATGGTGTCCTTTGGCATCACAGGGGTTAAGGAGCTGAGTGGAAGTTTTGAGTAAACCAGTAAAATAATATCAGGATTCATCACATTTGCTTAACGACAAAATACAGACCTGTTGTCAAGGAAGCAGATGTTACCCTTGCTCATATCACATTAAGTTTTCCTTCCAAAAATATTATGAATTCAAAAATGTTCAATGTTGAAATCAAAATATATTCCAAATGTAAATTATTCTCCCAAAGACAGATTTTCCTATTGTAAATTTTAAATTATGCCCTTGCTAATTATTGAAAATGTTGTCCACAACATTGCTCAACATTAAAACAGTCCTACATGCTAAGTCAGCCATTCCTTTAGAGACAACTGTAAATTCTTGCTGACAACTCAATAAAGGACCATTTTTTCAAAGCAGCAATGGTTTGAGCTGTGCATTGATGCTCTTAGTGGGGTCTTGAAATTATATTTTATGCACATTTTATGTACTGAACATCTAACTACTCCACTTCAGGGATTCAGACCCTGGAGAATCCTGACAGTTTGTTATCACAAACTGAAATGAGCACAATTAGGAGGAACTCCCTCATCTCTCATTAAGAACAAAATATCTTCCAAATCATTACTATACTGATATCCATGTTTGAAAAAAGCCACTAAAACTAAATAGCTGTGGGTGATTCCTGTGTTTTTTATTTTTTATTCTGGTTTGTTTGTTTGCTTGTTTGTTTGTTTTCTAAAAACAGAGAAAGAAAGGGCTTAGAATTTGGTGAGTGGGAATTTGGGGAAGACAAGGTAGGAGTTGGGGGAAGGAAAACCACAACTAAAATATACTATATGAAAAAATATTTT